TAACTTATAGCAGGTATTTAGGCAGGTAATAGGCCGGTAGTTAGATGGATCTGTCCTATCGCCGGATTTATAGAGCAGTACCGTCCGGTTTTTCGCAATCCATGTACCGGGAACTTTCCCGCTATCCAGCATTTGCAGTGCGAGCCTACCGAGTCGAGCGTAAGCCCAGGGGAGCTTTTTCCACCAGAAGGCCTGGATCCCATCAGGGCCAAGAGCCTTCCAGGGTTTAAACTGACGCACGGCCGCGTCAAAAGCCCCCTGGAGCCGGCCAGATTCAACCGTATTTGAATATCCGTAGGATGCGTTCTATATCACTATCTTGTTTCAAACATGCAGTGCCAAGAACTTGGTGAGGTATCATGCTGTTTGGTATATGCGCAGTCATTGTATGTGCTTGATATATGTGAAAAAATATTTTTTGTAGGGCCAGAATTTCTTTGGATCTTTCCCAAGCGAAATACGTTGTCTTTCTTGAGTCTTTCTTCAAGTTTTTTCCTCGGTCAGTCTTCTTATCACACCTGGTGGCCAGTGTTCTTTCGTGTCCGGTTTCTTGCTTTCTCCAGTTTTTTTATCGCATATTTTATACAATTTAGCATTGCTTTTTCGGGATTTCATTTTCATTATAATAGTGGCGTGCTCAGAATCAAGAAGATGAAGTAGCTGCTAAATGCTGTATCGATAGTGTGAGGCTCAGCACTGGGTTTTTTGAGTGTTTTGGTGTCAGTTTACTCAGTTTCATGAAGCACTACAGATTGGATTTTGCCATAATTCAGTAATAACTCTTAATTTATTTTGTAAATAAATTAAGTGTTGGGGAAAAAAATCACCGGTTTTAATGGTCTGCGTTGCTTGGTATGTGACAGTGATGTTTTGGTACACTCCTATAAGCCATTATTTCTTTTGATGGTCAGTGTTTTGATATTTTTTATATTCCTTTTCTCACTTTCCTTCATCGTTTTGGAAAGAGATCTGTTTGATGCACCGTCATGCACATCCCTATTCCCAACTATGTTGTACACATGTATTAGCGCCATGCAATAATGCTCATTATACATTGTCATATAAAAACTTTTTTTAACCTGTTACACGTATATAGCATGTAACCAAATCAAAGAATAAAAAATTGTTGGCTTCCATTGTTGTTGTTGTTGTTGCTGAATACTGATGGTTTACAGAATGCTCAAATTTTGATTTAACGCCTGAATTATTGAATTTTCGCTTTTACTTTTTACTTCGGCAAATTTGATAAAAATTAACGATTTCAGTCCACTTTCCACTCAAAAGTGGTTTTGATGCTTCAGGGTTGTTTCAGCGAAAGATTTAATGAGGGATGGAGAGTTCCAGTTCAAGTCAGCCAAGTGAAATTCCCAGTTCGAGTCAGCCAAGTATGGTTTGCTTCATTATTTACCAAGTTATGTATAGAATTCTGACCTATAGAGAGGAAAAAGGGCTTGGC